GCAGCACAGTTCCTGTCATATGCTACGCGGTCAATGAATACTCACAGAATCAAAGTATTAATGTTAGAAGCTCCATGGTAAGTGTACCTTTCAGGCCAAGTGGGAAATAGCCAGGCAAGCTCCTGATCCACATAAGTATCAGAATATCTACCAAGATAAACAAGTACTCAGGCATCTAAGACTGAGATGAAATTCCAGAGGGTTGACAAAAAGTAAGTCAGTGTGAATTCATGCATCAGATATAGGCTGGGCTAAGTGACCTTTGAGAACCTTCCAGGGCCTCCAGTACTATGACTCACAAGTAAAAGTAATGTATTTCTTGGCTTCAGCTGTTCCTAGTCTCTGTGTTTGTTTTGGGGGGCAATTAGCAACTATGACTTAGACGGTGTGTCAGCTGCAGGAAGAGTCCTGCTTTCCTAGAGTCTCCACTGTGAGAGAAGGAAAGAATGGCTTTGGCTTAGGAAGGGAAGGCATAGAATGCAGAGAACTTCCCATTAGGACTCTTTTTTTTCTGAGTCAGTCTCACTCTGTCACCCATGCTGGAGTGCAGTGGCATGTTCGTGGCTACCACAGCCTCAACCTGCCGAGTTCAGGCTATCCTTTCACCTCAGGCCTCCGAGTAGCTGGAACTACAGGCACGCGGCATCACACCCATTACCTTTTTGCTTTGTTGTACAGACGAGGTCTCCCCAAGTTGCCCAGGCTGGTCTTGAACCCCTGAGTTCAGGCAATCCTCTCACCTTGGTCTACCAAAGTGCTGGGATTACAGGCGTGAGCTACCACACCCGGCCAGTACTCTTTAATAATGTTGGAAAGAAAGCAAAAGTCTACTTGAATGTGAAAAACTCAAAATGGACACCAAAAATCACTAAATGAGCATGGAGAAGCAAGAATAAAGAATTCCGTATTTCCATCTCTGCACCATGGTGTTTTGGGGGTATCAACCTTACAAAATGTGTATCTTTCTCAAGAGACAGTTGTTAAAGCAGCAGCTCTATATTCCAAAGTAAAAGATTTCATACTTTTGAAATCATGGTCACTTTTCAGCCAAAAGAGAGAGTTTTTTAAAAAATTGTTTAAAAATTTAATCTTTCTCCCCTTAAGGCATCCCCCATTTCTATAGCACTTAATAGTGGTTAGTTTTCTTGAAATGCTAATATTTATTTTTATTATTAAGTACTACGCACTGTTCTTTACATAGATTATGGCATGTAAGAGACTCACTGCTTGTTAAATTCCCACAAGAAAACACACACAGACACACACGCCCATACACACACACACACACACACACACACACACACACTGCGCACACAGCAGTAGCAGATCAGCAAAGAAAGACACCAGCCAAAGAAAGATAATTTGAGATACTTCTGAGGTAGCAGTTGTAAAATTAAAATAGGCAACTCATTAAATTATCCATAGAGTGAAGAGAAAGCTGTAAAAATAGATATTTTTCTGGCAAGTCAGTGCTTTTCAGAACAAATTTAGATTTAAGCAGAGCTTTTAAATCAAATGATATCAGCTCATATTCATTAGAATTATTTAGATGGTTAGATTAGTTTGTCCTAATTAGAAGCAAAGAGTAGCTTTACTGGTCTTTGAAAGAAGTATATTTAATAAAAAAAAATATGCTCAGTTAGACATCATTTTCACTGACAGATTGTAAGCAATATGATCGAGTGAATGTTATTGGAACAAGTTGGAGCTTGGTCCCCAAGTCACAGAATTAGAAAAATAAAACCTTTTGTAAGTCATGCTTTGATGCCAAGCTCCCTCATTTCTATGTGTCAGCTTTTGTGGTCTATTTTGTGGTCACCCAGTCCCTCGCCTTCGCTCTCTCACTGCTGGATTTCAGAATGTTGTTTCTTACTAAACCTTCCCCTAGAGGACAGGCCAGGAAAAGGAAAGAAACTAAATTCACCAGCTTCTCTTCTTATTAAGAATTTAGATCAGAGATGTGATAGGGAAGGAGTCTGGTAAATGAAACAAGCAGCTTATGCATGCAATGTTCACTCTTTTTAAAGCCTTCTTTCCAATGTACAAGGACAGAACATTGACAAATAATATTTTGTAAGCCAACTAATCACTTGCTTTTAAAAACCCCATTTACTGTGTTGAGCACACAAATTAGGTGATGTTTTAAAATAGCGAGTACTCAGGCTCAGTAAAATGAAAACGCTGTAGGCAAAGAGAATGTCATAACAGCCACCTCCCATTGGTGGAGTGCCGCTTCCCAGTTTGCAAAGCCCTTTCAGACATTCCCTTAGCCTCCAAAAACTGCTGTGTTGTAGGTCTTCCTATCAATGACACTGAAAAACTATGGGTAGAATGCACGTATTTTCATCTGAATCAATACTGATATATTCCATCGGGGGAGCTAGACCAAGCTAAAATATTACATACAGAAACATTAATATGCAGGACCAGGCAGCACAAAAGTAGGCTAGGTTACTGTTTTATACACACACACACACACACACACACACATATACATGTATCTCTTTAAGGTTAAATATTCTCTCTTCGCGTTCTTCCCTGCTCCTTCCTATCACCTTTTCATCTTCTGCCTGATTCCAAGCAGGGCAAATGACATTTCTCGCCTTCAGGATGAACAGTGCATAAACAGCGACGATCTGGTGCACGATTCTTAAAGTGACATTCATTTCCATGACACTCCAGGCGAAACCATTTCGTCTTACAAGTCGAGTGGTGTGTGTGTGTGTGTGTGTGTGTGTGTGTGTGTGTGTGTGTGTGTGTGTTGAAGAGGATGACGTGACGCTTTTGAGGTTTATTTAAGTTGTTAAAGATCTCGAGGTTACAAGAATTAGACCGTGAAGCGTTTTTTTCCTCCCAGGGACACGAAATCTACAATTTTCTCGGTTCAACTGTCAGATAATTGACAAGTCGACTAAAAGGATAATATTCCCTTAACGAGGCATTCATTTGAAGCCCTAGCAACTGTATCGGGCGGCTGCGAGTGTTCGCTAGTAAGGCATGGCGCGTGGAGAGGGAACTCGGCAATTTAGAGTGACAGATGATTTCCCCCCCATCCGTCAAGCTGCCTCAGAATGTCACAATATTTACACCTCTTCCTTGGTGAATTAGAATCCAGAGACAAGCAGGCAGAAATTAATAATAATAATAATAATAATAATATTCCGACCGGTGGCCTCTGGAGTGGGAAAAGCAAGCGTTGCACCTTTAAATCCTGTTCCTCCAATCCCCGTCCCGCCCCCCCTTCCCGGGATTTTGCAATAAATCTCCCAGTTCTGCGTTCAGCCTTGCAGATCCGTATTTAAAACAGCACCATCTGGGAAGGGTGGGTGGCAATGGCGATGCGGGCGCCTTGGAGTTCCTTTGCAGCACGCTTGGA